AGCAAATCATTTATATTAAATGTAATTTGTACTTTTGAATACTTCAGTACAAAGGATGTATTGAATAATTTAAGTGATATATGTGTACACATATAAATCATTAGTCAAAACAGGACTACATTTGATTGAATTATAAAAGGTATATTTCGCAGATTCCTATTAAGCCTGCCCCCTTAAAAAAAAACGGCTCTCGCAAAGGAATGGAGCCATAAGATCCGGCTCCCTAGTTCAGAGAGCCATAATTCCCATCACTAGGGCCTTCAGTTAGTGAAACACATGATCAGTTGGATCGTGTCAGGGGACAGGGCAGGGTCAGGTGACTCACGTTGCTTTGCAAGAAAATCACTTAAAAGCAGCCATGTTTAGGACCTGCGTTTGTACAGAGTTCACTCACTGTATTAAAAAAGGGACATCACTCAGATGCAAGAAACAAGACAGAACTAGTATATCATTTATCATAAGAGATGTAGCAGAACTTACTTTTTAAGGTTGTTGTTTGTGATGTAGTTAATAGTTAACTATTGGGTCACATATTCAATTTACTTGGTCACTAATTCCATGCTGACTTTTGTATTTTACTTTGTTTGTATGCTTAATGAGCTTTTATTTATTTTGTTGCTGTGAAAAATAACAAATTAATGCAACTAAAAGATCAGATCTGGTGTTTTTTTTGCATATGTTTTCAGCTTGCACTCAACATGGGTGCTTATAGGGAAAGACAGTATTTGCTGATGTTGGTCCCTTACACAATGATTATCTATTCAGTGGGATGTGTCAGAAAACAGGCCATCAGAGATCAAAAGGGGGAGCACAGAAAGCTGATTAGCATGTGGTTTAAAGCGAGACAGAGGGCGAGACGCTCAAGGAGACGGAGCAAATGGGAGTCAGGTCACGGGAAGCAACACGTCACAGCCAACTCAATAAAACTCCTCTCATTCCCTCACCACCTCCACACCCCAGCCTCTGTGTGTGTGTGAGTACAGAGCGTGTGTGTCCACCCATATTTCTTGAATCATGTGACTTGACACGAGTAGTCATGCACAGTGTGAAAAGCCCCGCTATATATAGTAGGACAGTGTTGGGTTTCCCAGCAAAGCATTGTAGGAGTGTGATCATCTTTGTCCCATAAGAAAGTGCACAACACTGGCTTGTAATGTTTCTATTTGCTGTAGGTGTTAAGAGTCTAGCGGTGCTCCTGTGTGTCCACCCTGAAAGGTGAAATTAGGACACGAGAAGCCGTTTGTGATCCTCCTGTGTTGACTAAGCGCCGGTGGGATAGTACACATCAAGGATTAGATGTGTCTCAGGCCAATAAAATACATCTTATCTGGTTTTCTGAATGAAGTCATTGTGAAGAGACATAATGAGACAGTCAGTTTAACAGCTCTGTATTCAATGAATAACAAAACCTCAGTAATGGAGTCATTAGATTTAGCACTAAAGGACAAAGGTTTTTAATTTGTAACCTCATTGTTGGTTATGGTCGGTGGTGTATGTGACAAGATAAAGTGTTAATGTGAGCGAAAAATTCAGTCAGGAGATGTGTTGGGAAATCGTATTTGGTGTGCCGGGTTTTTTTTTCTCAAATTAAGAAAATTTTTAACTTTTGTACATAATAAAAATTGGATGAAAAAACGTATCATATTTAACAACATTAAAGAGGGTATAACATGACATATATCTGTATTTTATATCTGACTATGTAGTATAGCCTACTATGTATACCAAAAATCTTAAAGAAAATTACCGAGATAAGATGAACTGTGTCAGTACAAATCAAACATACTTGGTCCAAGAAATATCCTGCATATTAGTGTTTTACAAAAAAAAAATAGCACACTTGCAGCTATGAAATATCACGTGCAAGATCAGGAAGAAAGTGGTCATGCATGAAATTGATCTCATGACTCTGAGGGCATCCTTTCTTTATGATAGTAGTGGTCTTAAAACAATACCCGGTTGTTCAAAATAAAATCAATCATAGGCGCGCATGGCCTTACTTATCCTGACGCAGTATGGTCAAGCTCTAAAATAATTCAATCCTACATTTCCCAGAATACAATATAATTAGCATCCTTTGACAGGCCCTCTCAGTAAATGTCCTTATCTTTCAAATTCTGTGCCCTCAGTAATGCAGTCCCCATTAAAACTCATGACTAGTAGGCTAAACTGTTTTTTGGAGTTTCCTTTAAACAAATACAACTAAACCTAACTCTTACATTTGGGACTGGTTAGAAGATACAATGTAGAAGGAAAAAATAAATGGTACTCACATTTCTTCCCTTTTTTCAAGTTGGCGACATGTTCTCGAAACTATTATATAGTTGCGTATTTTTAGCCATTCTAGCAATGTTTCTCTATCTCACAGTATAAAACTTCGGTCCATAATGAAATATTTCGATTTATTGTTGACATTTCTTTAAAAGTTTCAATTAATGTCCCTTACAGCTTGACTTTTAATAATTGTTGTGATCCCCTGGTTTACAACCAAATACTTACAAAACCTAAAATATATAATTAGCAAATGTTTGCATGCTAAAATGCTAAACTAACTTTTAAAGATAAGATCATTTTTGAAAATGGCAAATTTAAACCAGGTAAGCGTTGTCACATTAGCATTGTCACTATTAGCATGTTAGCCCGCTGAAGTTAGCATTTTGCTAGAGCACTGCTGGGTCCAAACCATGGTCCAAACAGGCAAGAGCTAGGCTAGCATTTGCTGTAGAGCCTGAGTCCTGTTCATTTAAAACACAGTAGCATAACAAAGACATGGGCAGATTACAAATTAAAACATTTAGAATATGTAGCTGTATTTGAACCATAAGGGGGGGAAAAAGATTAAGTCAGTGACTAAAATGTCTTGAAGGGTACTTTTCATTTGATTTTTAAATAAAATAGATACTATATTGTGAATGAGCTATATTACAACATCTCTCAAAAGCCTGCATTATAGGGATAAAGTCATTGCAACTGCCTTGAGATAATGACTCAAATTAATAATGTATGACAATTCTCAAGTGGTTAGTTAGTCCTTGCTGCAAATCAATATAATTGATTATCTTACATTTTATTCATTAATAATTTAATGGAATACTTAAATTCATGGGCACTACCATCAAATACCAAAGTTAAAGACCTCATGTATGTAATAGCTCTGTTCATGATGTGCTGCTCTGATTAAAAGGTGGGAATCGTGCTCATTAAACATTGCAAGCAGCTTCTCGCTCAATTTTCCACATCATGACGTGGCGTGAAAAGAAAAGCCATTATGAAATATCACTGCAGGCAGACTTATCACCATGCTTTGCCTAACTTTCTGGAACTACTGTGGCTTTTTGAAAATCAGCAGCAAGCTAAAGATTAACAGAATTTTGTGTACACATTACCTCTGAAACACACACCATGCGAACCCGCCTGGGGATCAAAATGTCTGAACGTTTCGGGAGCTTAATTTCTTTTGTGCCTGATCATTTGGATGGTGTTGGGTTTTGACTTTTTAGAATTTTCCCAGGTATTGTAAGGTGTATTAGTCTTCATGCTTCATATAGCATGCTAAGGGCTAATGATAGGGAGAAGATGGTGCTGTTTAAAGACGCCGGTCTATTCCGAATCAACCTTTAACAGCTTTAAGGGATCAAAGGTCAAGAGTCCCCTTTGACCCTGGTGTCACCAAAATAATAACCTGAAGGCAGATGAGCCTGAGCTTCTCAAGGATGTAAGACACCATTGTGTTTGTGCTCGGGTGTAGCGTGTCTTGCTTGTGTACAAAAGTGAAGGCAAATGGATGACAGAGACGTAATGAGGAGTGATCTCAGAAAGACGCTGTTTCTGCCAAGCTGTTACACATTTTCTAACACTGGGGATACGGCCAATGGAGGGAGAGGGGAAACAAAAAATCCACAATGAGACACAGTGTCTCCAAGCAGACACAGTGGCCAACATTTCAAAGGTCTGGCTGGTGAGTGAGGGTCCGCCCAGCTCCAGTGCAGGTTGCCTTGGGCTGGCAGGTTGTTCCACTGCAGTGTGAGAGGACTTTTTCCTTCAGAGTGGGCAGGGCCGCTGGTGCTAACATATGTACGCTCCACAGGGGTCTGTGGCGGATATCTGGACGATGCATCCGTCATTAACCCCCGTCTCCCTGCTTCTCGCTGCGTTTCATTCGGCCTCCATCACTGCGCCTACTACTCTCTCTCGGATCTCACCCCTCATCTCTGCCTCCCTCTTTGTCTGGCCCGCGTTATCTTCATCCCCTGCTGTCCATCTCCCCGTCCTCCTCCCTTGCATATCTCCCTCTTTCTCTTTCCTCTCCCCCTGTGGCCTGCTTTTCATCTCTCCCAGTTTTACCCCCCACCACCAGCACCAATCCTCCCTTCTCCCTCTCTCTCTCTCTGCCCTTCACCACGTCTCTTTCTCCCCCCTCCCAACTCTACCCCTTCAACCCTCTCCCTAGATCCACTTTCCACCCCTCCTCCTGCTCCCCCTACTCCCCTAACTCACTCTCTCAACTCCCCCACACACCCCTCCTCCCCTTCTCTGTCCTCCGTTCAATCCTTCCTTCTGCAATCCCCCCCCCTCCCTCCCTCCCTCCCTTTCTCTCCTGCCATCTTGCAGGCCAGTGGAGCCAGACTGCAGGCGTTCAGGGAGTCACTGGACCTGCTGGGCAGCGGGTGACACAGATTTCCGGTGTATGTGTGTGTGTGTGTGTGTGTGTGTGTGTGTGTGTGTGTGTGTGTGTGTGTGTGTGGGGGTGTGTGGGTGTGTGTGTGTGTGTGCATGTAGAGCATGCACCGGACCTGCCAAGGCAGCGTGTAGGTGTGTTTGTGTGTCTGTGGGGTTGTGATAAGGCTCTCAGCCACACTATTAGGTGACTCATAATCCACACAACCTCACACACACATGAACACGTGTGTGTACAACCAGAAACATTGGACACATACACCCAATTAAATCCAAGCACACACACACTAGCGGACATAGCATAAACCCAGCCTGTAGACAAGTTCACATGGCCAATTTATTTGATTTCAAAAGGGCAAACAGAGCTATACAGTACAAGTTGCACATGAAATAATTTAGCCTAAGCTGAACTCATTCATTTCTTACTGATGCAGTGACGTCAGAACAACAGAAAACAAAACTCCCCGTTAGAAACAAAACATTTGGCTCCTTTTTTTTATGTTGAAACACAATACATCCAAACTGGAAAGGGATGTAGAAAAAGACATAATGTTTTCCAGATATTTACAGTCTATTTACAGCATTTTTTTTGTCGTCATCTAAATATTGACACACATTGGTATCCTTTTTTCTCTCCTCTCCGACTCACTGATTGTCAAAAGAAAGGATGGGAACGAGTTTGGACATTCTCTAACGGAGCTGCAGCTCCTCGTTAAGCACGAGATCTGACGAGATCTTTGAACCACAGTCTGAGTGTTATCATGGTGTCCTGTGTGCTTTTATTTACTGCAGCCCCTCAACAATCATCCAACCAGGATCCTCTGACAAATGCTGCCACCCACCCTATCAGTATTATCCATCCAAGGTGCTGTTGCTTCTCTCCTGTGCCAGACCCAAAGTAAAGTCGGAGCCCCTTAGATCAAACCCAGACACTCTGCTCTCAAACCCAGGACCCCCCGGCTTCCTCTTCAGCTCCTCACACTTCCTGTATTTACAGATCTGGTGTCCCCTCTTGCGATTGCGGCAGCTGCTGCACTGGTCGCAGTTCGTCTGTCGCCGACAAGGTACGCACTCCCCACACCTCTTCCTCTTCCTCCTCCCTCCGCTGCCCCCGCCCAGAGAGCCAGGTGAGTAGCCCTCGGCCACCAGCCCCTCGATGCCCTCAGCTCCCATGGCCGCGCTCCTCCAGTGGCCTCCCCCCATCTGGAAGCCTGCCAAGGGGAACAGAGCGGGGCTGAAGGGGAACCAAGCACCCAGGAAGGGCTGGAATTCGGTGCCACATCCAGAGGAGTCCTCTTCGTCCTCCTCGGGCCCCGACCCGCCTCCCTCCGCATCCCCCTTTGCCTCTACAGCCTCCCTTTTAACCGGCTGGCTGCTCTGTGCGCCCAGGCCGGCCTGCTCTGTGGAGGCCGGGGTCAGCGCCAGCAGCCCAGCGCGCATCAGCAGCTCTGCGGCGTGGGCCAGGTGGAGCCCGCTGGGCGACTCCCACATGTCAGGCCAGGAAGGGGCCCGGCGGGGCTTAGTGTGCGCAGGCTGGGCAGCCCGCTGCTGGGTCGGAGAGGGCTGGATCAGGCCTTTGACGTCCACGGCAGGGGAAGGGGTGGAGATGTAATGGGAGAGGCTGTAGGGGTGGTTGGAGCGCTTAAGGCTGGGTCTCAGAGGCTCATTGGGGATTTTAGCACTGCTGTGGGGCTGATCTGGGGAGGAAGGGCCAGCGATGTCTACGGCAGTGGACATAGCAATGGCTGTGTGGGGGGTGTCTGTCCTTGTGTGAGTGTGTGTGTGTGTGTATGTGTGTGTGTGTGTGTGTGTGTGTGTGTGTGTGTGTGTGTGTGTGTGTGTGTGTGTGTGTGTGTGTGTGTGTGTGTGTGTGTGGGAGGAGTGGTAAGGGAGAAGGGGATTGAAGCCGATGCGGGGTTGACAACCGTCCTGCTGTTACTTCAGCCAAAATGGCAAGCCTTGGCCTGTGTCCCTATTCCCATTCTCTGCAGCAGCCTCAGAGTCCTGGAGAGCTAGAAATGAATTGGGGATGAAGAGAGCAAGGTTAAGAATAGAAATATTGGAGAGACCAATACAGAAAGAGAGTAAACAGAGGAGATGAGACTGGGAGATATTTCTCAGCCAGAGGCACTAAACACTGTTTTTAAAGAAAAAAAACATAGATTTATATAGATTTAGAAATAAACTGCTTGAATAGAGACAAACCGTGCCTGTATCACACAGTGCATTGGTTGAATATGATTTCCGCATACAGGAGGCAGTATCCCTTTAAGAATTTCACGGTATATCAATGCAATCAATAACAGAGCGACAACAATATGCAAAGATATGCGCATATGCGCAGGTCAAATGTGGAGCGCGCTTTTCAAATACATTTTGACGACTGCTGTTATGTGTGCCAGGCAAAGCTTAAGCTGAACAGAAGAAGACTAAATAGAGGACCGCAAAAAAACAGGCTGTCTTTTGTCTGGTATCGACGACGAGGAGCGAGGTGCGCAACGATGCGGTTGCTGTGGATAAAAAAAGACCAGGCTATATTCCATGTCCACATTTGTAGAAAATCTACTCCAGTGATTGAACACGGGACACATATGTTGTTACAGGACAACACTGTATACCCTTTTCTGGGTCGATCTGGACACCTAATCGATCATTTCACCGTAATTCATGTTACCTAAGAAGACTGTGCTCGACCGACGCCACGACGAGCTGACCACAGTCCGAGTGGTCTCTGCGACACGGCGCTGCGCGCAGGAAAAAGGCGACAAAACCAAAACAGCGAAAATCAACAGGAAGTATTGTTAAAACGTCTCGTCTTACCTTCCAAATAGGGTCCAAACTCTCCTGTCAAACATATGATGAAGTCATGAACTAATGGCGTGGTGATTGTAGTGTATATGGACGGTGGAGCTGCCGATTCCTCCTCCACCTCTCCGTCCCGGAGGGTCTGCAAACACTCTGCACGGAATTTGGGGGCGTCGCTCAAAATGCGAAGTGGACTCTGCAGCCGAGACCGTGGTCAGAGCGACCCCATAATATCCCCAGGAACACGTCAACATACACGGACAGCTGTCAGTGGGTAGACTTTAGGGTGACAGATTAAAGCCCCATTACTATGCATCAGACACCCTTTTGTATCAATGGGCGTTACTACAAGTGACACCAATTATCCTTTTATCATGTTAAATATTTAAAATAGGCCTACAACAACTTTTTAAATACAGGCCAGGCCAACATTTACACATTTTTGTCAATATATTCAAATTAATTTAAAGTTATTCATTACGGTGTGTTATTACAGCAGTCTAATGCATAGATAAGTTTCCATCTCAATTAAAAAAAATAAGTCTTTAAGGCTTGTGCCATTAACTAGCCTACATTAAAGTCCTGTTTAATCACCGGAGAAACTACTAAATATGATCGTTATTGTTAAGTAATACCTTTATTTTTGTATATTTAATATGACTGTAGCCTTTGTGCATATTATTGTATATTTGATTTGTTTTATTAATATGTTTACTACTTTGGCAATAAAGTTTTCTGATCTCATGTCAATAAAGTTTATTTGAATTACAGCGCTGTAATGCGTAGCCTCATTATCTTAATTAAACGCACCTGTGCGTAAAGCTTTAATCAGCTTAGCAGTGAATTAGTGCGAAGACTAGAATTGCATTCAAATTGAGATGTGAATGTATGCATTGTCTTTTCTGTCTGGAAAGAACGCACATCAATAACCTATTGTAAATGGCTCGGACCTTGGCCTAAATAAAATATTTCATCCGTATTTTCTGGCCAGGTCGGTGTTTACACATTACATTTTAACATGTATATTTAGGAAATAACTCGAAGCGAAACGTTCCCCTTTGTTTGGGGGGGTGGGGGGATATGTACATTTTCTATAGTTTGAAGTAAGTAGTATCCCCACGGGAAGCCTTTTCATTATTGGTTATTCATACTTAATGAACGCACAACTGGATTTGTTGTCTTCAGTGTAGCATATAGTCGACATAATCGAATCGCATTTGCTTAAAAACAACAATAATTAAACTAATAATTCTAAAATAAAAAGTATTGTTTACCAAACATAGGCTTGTCAGATTGAATTATCCGTCAAAGTGTGTTAGCCTCCTTAGCATAAGTAGCATTGAGCTAATGTTGCTCCACTTGTAACGCAGGTAATTGTTGACACTCAGATGTGTGTTGTCCCTCTGTGAGCAGCACTCTGTTAGGTGACTCTTCACGCGGGGACGGTGTACTCCACTCCACCTCTTGTGAGAGCCCTCCGTTGCATTTGGCACGCAGCCAGATACTTCGTGCGTGTGTCAGTGTGTGTGTATCTACGTGCGTGTGCGTGTCACAGGGGCCCACCGTACCCACTGTCTGGCCAGGACTATCCGTGTAAACACAGCGTCTTCTAGTGGTCACCACAAATACTGCCACTTCTTAAAATGGCCACTGACACACACACACACACACACACACACACACACACACACACACACACACACACACAGTTTGGCCCTTGGCTCCTATACAAGAAAACACCTCCAAAAACAAACATGCCAAGCCAACAAAATCAGGTCACTTATTAAGTTTTATTCACAATATACAGAACAATGAGTCAAGTCGTCACACCGCACGCAGCCAGTAGAAAATAAATCTGATGGAATAAGCAATATATATTATTTTCTAAGCAAGTTTTTGAATACTTTACAGATTAAATACAAGTTCGCTCAGGAAGCAGACAGTAAAACTGGTAAACAAGAAGCCGATAGTGTTGATTGGAGAGAAATTCATTGAAGACAAAACTCCTGAATAAGCAGCTCATGGTGCAAAAATCATACCATGTAACATTCATATGGGTTATGTGCATTTCAACTCTGGGTGTCGCGGGCTAATGATTTAAAAATAAAGCCTTTCCTTAATTCAAATGACCGACTTAAATGAAGCCCTGCCTCAAAGAACGTCAGGTTTTATAATGCTCCACTCTGGGGAGAGGAGAAGGAAGGGGAAACACTGTTGACACCAGACGTGAAGCTACTATGCATGCACTGTGAAATATTTCACTTAAAATCAGGTCCAGTGAGTATTTTAACTGAATTCCACACATAAAGTAGGTCAAAATGTAACTTTATTCATAGTACCTCCATGTCTGTGTGCTGATTGTCAAAGTCCTTCCTTATCTCTCCTCAAGTGACCTTTGATTGAAGTAATGTCGGATTACGTAGAAACAGCGTGAATCAAATCAAAATACCACAAAATGTTTTGTTCTGAGCATAAAGTATATCCACCGCTTGATTTAATTGCGACAATACCATAACAATCCGTGCGACACTGCGATGGTAATAAATGATTGGACAAACAAGGGTCGGGTGTATTAGAAGTGAAAGGGTGAGCGCAAGGTTCTCCAATTGGGCGGCTTAAGCATCTTTCTTTTTGATGATGAGCGGTCCCACGTTGTCCCCGGTTTCATCGTTGTGTTTGGCGTGGGCTCCGTCGCAGAAAGGGAACTGTAAACAGAGGGAAACAAAAGTTGCTCTTATCAAGTTCAAGCCCTTTGTGCTGCAGTGAAACGACTGGACACTGTTAGCCAATATTGATGTAATCTCCCAGAAAGCACCTTATACTAAGACAGAGACCAAACTACAGAGCAGACATGTTAGTAGTATTATCATCAGTCTCAAAGTGACTGAAGACCATTTTTATCTTTACGATCGTGAACAAATCAAATCCTGAAATAGCTCTACTCAAGACGCCTAAGCCCCAGTGGTTATACATTTAAAAATATTCAACTTTGCAGACAGAAGCGATTTGTTGAACTCAGATGTTCCTTGTCCTTTATTTTATGTACATAGGGCATATTTTAGATCTTGTTAAAAGACTTTCGCAAAAAGTACAACTTGGGATATTTCAAGTATGAGGTCTATTGTTTTCAAATGTAACCTATATACAGAACGATAGCGGCCCACTCAATTATTCTCAGATTGACATAAAAGCCATAAATCAGTCTCACTAAGTGTTTAACTTACTTCAGCCAACACCCAAGGCCTCTGATATGGTTGGCAGAGCTTAATGATAAGATTTCAATAAGCTGTCAAAGAAAAAACACTTGTGAACTATGTGAACTGGAGTGACCCTTTATGGTGGAAAGCTAAGGGAGTTACTAGCTTAGAATGTCTAATATCAGTATACATTTAACAATAAATCAAACACTGAAATTAAGTGCAGTTATGTATGCTCTAAAGTAGCTGCTAACCTTCTTTGACTTCCAGCAGCGGCAGTACACAGCCTTGGTGCCGATGTCCTCCATGTCGAAGCTGTGCACCACTTTGGGGCTGTCTTTACTGATGCAGGTGTTTACCTGGCCCTTTTTACAGCCCCGTCCACTCAGGTAATGGCTGACTAGGAAACCTCCGACAGCTGCAACCACTGCGACTGGCACCGCAACCACAAAATGCTCTGAAAGAGGAGACGCAGTGTGAGTGGAGATACAGAAAAGTATTATTATTATTATTATTATTATTATTATCATCATTCAGAAATACACATTTCTGTGGCTTGGTAAAGACATCACAGGTGGTTTTCCTATCTTAGAAACACCCCCAAATTGAATGCATCTCAATACAGTGTTATGGCTAACTTTGCCCTACATAAAACAGAGTCAGAACCAATAAAATGATAGGGTTCACAAAAAAAAAAAAGTATTGGATGTATATTTTACTGGCTTGCATTACACAGCACAGGTTTACTGGACAACAACTGGACACTTCATGATACATACCAGGGTCTATGGTATCCATTGCCCATTTAAATACCCTTGTAATCACTGAACCTGTGTTAAAATATTGTTTTTCTGCATGTTACTGACCTTTTGGCTTGGAAGTAATATTTAGGCTTGGAAGTAATATTTTAAGCACTTGCTGCACTACTTCTGTCTGTTGACGTTTGGGGCCCTGCTGTCAGTCCTGATCAGCAGGTTCAGTTATTAGCTGCTTTGTTAGGGAAGCTGGCTGGAGTCAATGATACGTTAAGATACTGTAGTATGTGCTGTAATCGCCTCCGAGTATGGCCTGATAGCTGATGGGCCAAAACTATCTGAGTGATAGTCTAAAGTTGGGAACACAACATGAGGATGCATCCAACAGGGCTGACTGCCCAGTGACGTAGCTAGCTACATGGCTGTTTAGCTAAGTAGCTGCTGAATAAGTAACTAACTGCTGAAATAAGATACAAATGTTTAATTATATATTCCCTAAATGTACTCAGATTCATAATCTCCATTCAACCCTTCTTAAATGCTAGCTTACAAACAACCGTAACGTTAGCATTCACTGAGCTCGCCAGGGTAATGTCAGGTCACACAGACGTGTTAAGTTTACGTTGAGCGGCAAATGACAAGTCATGTAATGCTAGCATGTTATTAGCTAGCTTGGATACTTTACCTTTTGTTAACGAGAATCCTGAGCTGGATAATGCGGGCATCGGTATCTGTGACATGGCTGGTAAACCCGGGGTTGATGTTTTTCGCTGAACGGTGTGTTGTTTTTGGATAAGCACTCAGCAGCAAGGTCAACTGAGAATCTTACGTGAACTCTCCCCGCTACACAAGAACCGTGCTCGGCCGCCTACGTGCTGTGCAGCAGCCAATCAGCTCAAAGAGAGGAGGAGTTATGCCAGAGCAAGAGACCAATCCACGCGTACTTCCGGCTTCGCTTTAGTACTCTTTGAAGGATTTACTGCAACTGAAATCTCAAATATGATTCATTAACTACCTCTATATTGTTTATGACCCAGCAAGGAGGTCTCAAGGTCAATTACAAAGATGCCATTTCAATTGTTGAATCAAATATGCTTTAAAAAAAAAAATAAAGTAATTCTTGACCGTCTAAACTTTTAAGTGGCAAAAATAATCTGGTTTTATTCCGTAACCTTCAAATACAGTTCACAGCCTCCATATGAGAAGTTTGCTCTATCTGTGCCAAAACGGTGTTATTTTAGGATGAACCCCAATAGCGATTACTCCAATAATTACTTATGCATTCATTAACTTGACATGTAATGATTATATCACGTAGTGAACGACGGTAAGGATCCACTGGAGGATAGCCATCTTGATTGTTCAAGCTTTGTCGAGTCCCATTTCCTTCTTCAGTAAGTTATTTCTCTTCAACACAGAAATGCTATGAAGAACCACTAATATGAAGAACCACTGCTGTCCATTCTTCAATATTTAAAAAAACATATAACAAGTCTTAATTTAGTAAATAACTGTTGATATATAGCGAATTTAACATCTAATAAATGTTATACACTTAAATGGTTTAGATAAAAGCCCCCCAAGAGGGCTACAGGATATCATGGCCATTTTGATATTAAAAACGTATGTCCCAATATATCCATGAGGTAAGGCCTGTGTAATATCTTAATACAATTAATTTATTAATACTGTAAATGCATTATTTTGAACCAACATATTTAAACTTTTGATTGACACTCAAATACTAACTTCTACAAATCATGTTGTGATACATTTCAAAACCCTTTATGTAAAGTTTTGTTAAACAATCAGACCAACAGTGAAACCGTGTGGTGAAGGCAGGTAGTATTCATCCTGTCCATTTCCTGTTTAACTGGGTCATGAATGTGACCCAGCTTCACATGTTCCTACTTCTGGATGTACTCCAATAGGGTCTGAGAATGAGTCAACACAGGAATCATGGGTTTTTATTACACAGTTTAATCAACACACAAAGCTCAACGAGCCTCTCAGGTAATTCAATATACAGAGGTTTTGTGCAAGAAGAGTGGGTTCTCCTCGCACCCAGAGCCCAAGCCAGTCCCATAGCCATTTAAGATGTTAGCCTCTAATTCAACAATAGCAACAACAACAAAAAAGGAAAGGGAAAAAAATGCAACCTAAAGAGTTATGGGGGGGGGGGGGGGGCGGGGGAACTAAGAAAAATAAATTGCTTAAATACCTGGTCCAGAACCTCCACTTTGTGAATAACGAAAAGTTGGTGGTAGTGGTGGGGTGGCATGGGGTTACAATTGTGCGTGCATGTGTGTCTATGTGTGTGTACAAAGGGGTCAACTGGTTAGGGAGGGAGGGAGTTTGGAGCAGGAGATGTGGGGATAAATTCAAGTCCTTTCGTAGAATCCAACAGAAGACCAAAATAGCCCATGTGCATTTTTTTTTCATCTTACATAGCCTGCAATGATTTATTTTAAGTATTCATTGTATAAAATACAGAGTGCCCTTTGACTCGCATGCGAAAACAAATTGCTTTCTTGTATTGTCACCTCTGACAGATGGGATTTGAAAGGACAACAAAACAAGAAAGGGTGCAGAGTGTAAAAATCCCTCAAATGTATTGTCCCCCCACTGCCCTGGAAAAAAAAGAAGTCCCCTCTAAGTTTTACTGATGCTCAAAAGGAATGCTTTTAACGTCTGGGGAAGGTGGGTGAGGATGCAGGAGTTTGTGTAGGAAAAAGGAGGAGTTTAAGGAGGGGGGGGGGGGCAAACTGCATGTTGGCAAAGTGTAACGGAAGTCAGAGGTCACGAGGGAGGTGAAAAGGGAGAAGGTAAAGAGATGGGTGTTACCATTTCAAGTTGACAATATGTACACTGGAGGGTGGAGAGGTGAGCTGAGAGGCAGGTGGGAGGGAAAGGGAGACAGAGTAAAACAGAGGGAGAAGAGAGGGGGGGCAGAGGGAGTTTTACAGGTACTCTGGTGAAGGGGAGGCGTGGCTCAAAGAAAGCACTCCAATGGAAACCAACAAGATCTTGTTTTAAACTTTTCATTTGTTTTGAATGGTTTTTTGTTTGTTTTCTCTTTACGTCTGAAGCTCCCCTAACCTTACGTTGTAGAGGTGGTTGGCATTGATTCTACCTCCCCAATACTACATTGCATACTTTTGTGTCCATTCCCGAGCTATTTTGTTGTACCTGTGAACAAGCAGAGGGAGAGAAAAGTCGTTAGTGGTTTAACCTTATAAAAACAAGTCAGTAGGGAACAGCGACTCGGTCACCTCCGTTATTTTCCACGTGTGCATCATAAGTTCTGCAGCCACCCTTGCAGAGGCAGCAGCAGCAGAGATGCCAGCTGGCTGTCACTCTACAAGGGCACAGAGTTCTGCCACCTTGCACCCATTTTATTTGGCTAGTTTGTTTTTCATCACCAATGCGGTAAATGTTCAGGAGCCAATGCTGCTGCAGATGTAGCATACCAAATGGAAAGCCATTCTGTCTGAACTGAACACCCATCCTAAGGTTGTTCCTGTGTGATTCTTCGTACCAGAGAATATCAAACGGGGCAAAGAAGCACAAAGGCTAACACTAGTTTGGACTTCCTCTTAATTCTGTTATCGTGTGCTACGAGAGGAAAGGAACAGATCATTTTGAAATGTTGTGATTGATAATCGACATCACAGTGAAGTAGCTCAGATTCTTATGTTGTAAAAAAAGAAATAATATTTCAACAAAAGGCATACAACGCTATCTGGAAAAGGTTTGCTAAAGGCACATTATAGTATCAATTTACAGGATGCTCACACTTAGTGTTAGCATTGAACTGACTGTCCTTTTTGCCAATTAATAACTGAAGATTATTCAAATAAGAATGCTGCATCCTCAATGTGATGAAGACAAAAAGGCACATTTTCTATGAACAAAAAATTCTAAATCAAGAACATGATGGCGCCAAAGATGTCTACAATACGTAGATCTGTTTAGTTTTATGTCACAGCGATCTCAGCTTTAGCATCATGATAAATATGAATCCAGTCATATATAACGCAGGCTAAAGACAGTTTATAATGGATCATTTGACAGCAGGCATGTCAGAAATCAGAACGGGTATACACTGCTAAAACTCCAACTTACATTGGAGATCTGTGATCATGCAAGCCCCCCTTAAAATATAACGCAAATTACAACAGATCTGGCAGATATCCAGCCCATTTCAGGTGGCCAATCAGGGCCAATCTGCTTGGTTTACGAGACTTATTCAAGTAAGAGGTCTGTACATTTTTGAAGCCTGTATGTTTGCTTTCAAACTGTGGAGAAGGCAACACTAGCTTATGTAAAAGTTACAAAACAAAGCGGTGGTGGGTATGATCTGTTACTGGTGTGTCGTGAACACTGTAAGTCTACTGCACACATTTGACCAGTGACCCTGTTAAAAATAAATCAATAATCTTTAACAAACGTTCCACCAGTAGCCAGTTTGAGGCATCAACTTTGATCAGAACAAGCATTAGCTGACAGCTCAAGCTCATAAGATGTGGTTTGTGTGTCGAAATGAACCATTGAAACAAGGCAAAATAAAAAAACTAATTATGGAGAAACAACATGAAGCTCATAACTTACTTTTCCCTGTCCGTCTTGTAGATGCGGGCGATCTCGGGTACTAAGGGGTCGTCCGGGTTGGGGTCACACAGCAGAGAGCAGATGGACAGGAGGACTGGAACAGGACAGGTGACCAATAAGTATTCACAAATAGAAAATACATGTAATTTTCTCCTCGGGTGACCCTTGGGTGCAAGTCAGGCTGAGTACTTGTGATGCCTACAGAAATGTTGATAACACATGCAATTTCAGATGTAAAAAATAGAAAACTGTGGTTCATGACACCCAGCGATAAGCACTGAATGATAGGGAGAAAGCTGACATTTACAGAGAGAAGCGTCGAGTCTGATACAAGGACCTCCGAGTGAGAAATGTTGTAGTGTATTATCTGTGGGAAGCAATTTCGTTTATTACTGCTATTCCTCTTTAACCATATGTGTACTTTAAGGAGTAAGGGAGTTTACCTTTGGAGATGGTGAGAGCCGGAGACCACTGTGATCGCAGAATGTCAAGACAAATGCTGCCGTTGCTGTTGATATTTGGGTGGTAGATTCTTGTGGTAAATGCAACCTTATTGCAGACGGGGAGAAAAGACAGGAAACAGAATGATGTAAAGCTGTGCAGGCAGGAGGCATTCTCTGTGCCTCACTGGTACTGTGTTTATTAAGCACTTTCTTTGCTTAGGTCTTGCCTACCTTTGGCGGTTTGAAGGGGTAGTCTGTGGGGAAGTGAATGGTCAAGAAGAAAACCCCGCTCTGATAAGGACTGTCATTCTAATGTGGGGGGGGGAGGAGAGAAAACCATCTAATTAGTGACTGAAGTAAACAAATGTATACAAATAAAACCAGAGTGCTGCTGTCTTTGACAACAAATATTAAATTCAGTTTACTTTGACCTATTCAGATGCCGTTTAAAATGTAAGTGAAAATGTTTGTGAGCATATGAGAGAGGGTTAATTGCTAGAAAAAAAAGAGCTAGAATGCATTTAATTAAGCAGGGATGCAAACTCATCAGGTATGAAAAAGGTGACAAGGATCAGAGCCCCCCACCCCACGGAATATCGGCTTTAAAATGAGGAATAACAGAGGATTTTAGCAGTCAGAACAACTAAAGCAGTTAATAATAACAGAAACGCCAAAGAGTCACATCTAATAGAAATATATAAAAGCATTTATTTTAAATTGTGGAGCAGTCAGTTTATAATTTTGGCAGCACTGTTGAGCATTTTGAAAATGTATTTTCGTGCCTCTGTGCAAGGCTTAGTCTTTCTATCTTTATAGCCACATGGTGTAAAGTAACTAAGTTCATAAACTCAACAAGTACTATACTTGGGCACAATTTTGAGATACTTGTACTTTATTTAAGTATTTCAATGTTTTGCTACTTTGTTCTTCTACTCCACTACAGTTCAGAGGTACATG